GCAATGAAACTGATCTTAATAGATTCCTTGGGTTATGCTGAAAACATAGATATCAGGTTTTCCATAATCAGACAAACTTCCTGTCCGTCATCTTTATTTCTTTGAAAAACCTTCTTTTTCGAACTCCTCCTAGACCGTTTGTCCAATTTTCACGAAAATTTAATCGTATCATCTCCAGACTGTGCCGACTAAAAGTTATGAATTGCACGATGATGGACAAAACCGTTTTGGTATAACACAGCATCAAAGTTTAGGCATGCTGCCAAAATTACTATTTAGGCTTTATCTCTGCAATGCCTTCACATTTTGACACCAAACTTTGCATGTGTCATTGTCACCTCACTCTGACCACATCACATCTATTTCGGAACTGCGCCACCTATTGTTCGAAAGTGATAACCCATTAAATCATCTTATAAGGTAATGTTTATGTGATTTTTTTAGCCATTTGCCAAAAGTTCTCTCAAAATGCCCGTAATTGTTCCTTGCTGCAGTTGGTCTGCCACTCCTAGCCATTTTGGCATATGTTGCCGCTTCTTGCGCTTGGCCCCGGTAATGGCTGCTTGCAGCTATATTTGTGCTTGTTCTTTAGCAGAGTGTGACCTCAATTCATCTGTATAAGCAAATATACAACATTTAAAGGAATATTCTGGGTTTCATAACAAGATACGTTCAATCGACAGCATTTTGGCACTAATAAAAAAAAACAGATTGACTCATCCCTGTTTTTCTTAAAAAAATAAAAACAAATATTGAGGTTACAGTGAGACATTTACAATGAAAGCAAATGGGGCCATTTTTTAAGTGTTTAATGTGAATTTTATACTTTTATAAAAAATCTCTTAAACCAAATTAAGGCCTATTATTTGAGCTGTAGTTTTGTTTAAATCCTTAGTTTTTATGGTTGCATGATTTACGTTGTAATAGCAACAAAGTTATCAAAGGCCTATACCAGAAAAAAAAATAGGTTATTATTTTTTTTTCACACTAAAATCATACGAACAAAGTTCAATAAATAAAGGTGATTTGATCTAATTTTTATTCATTTAAGGAGACTGATTATATTCGTATTCTAGCATAATATATGGACTAGTCATATCTCATTGCATAATAGGCTACTTACCCACGATCACCCTCAAGGGCACTTCAAACCTCCTTCACTTTCAATACTAGCCTATAATACACAAAACATTAAACTCGATGATGAATACGCATATCAAGTATAAAATACTAATAGCTAATGCATATTTGGCCATGTAGAGCTCGAGCATGTTTTTATACAGATAGAACGTCGGTGCAGATCTACAAATGGCAAGGTAAGGCACTGTTGGTTTTTCATTGCGTGGAGAGCAGCGCCACCTGTTGGCTCGCATCAGTAGCTGCTGCATAGTAAATATTCAATATGCCCCATTGAAAGGGCTTTTCATTTTTTTTAAAAAAAAAAATATATACACTCTAAAAAATGCTGGGTTGTTTTAACCCAATTTGGGGTCAAATATGGACAAACCCAAAATGCTGGGTTAAAAATGTAATGTAAAAATTTAACCCAACGGCTGGGTTAGTCCATATTTGACCCAAAGTTGGGTTAAAACAACCCAGCATTTTTTAGAGTGTATATATATATATATATATATATATATATATATATTAAAAAAATAAATACAATTAAAATTAATTTATAAATAAAATAACGTCGAGTATTATCTAAAATGGAACGTATTAAACACGCACAGTTAAATATTTTTTATTTGATTATTTTGTGCAGACCCAAACTAGACAATGCTTATCTACTGTTTAATTAGTTTCAGGGATTCATATGCGAGTCGAAGCGCACGCTTCCAATCCAGGGTCAGTGGAGGGTCAGTGGAGACAGCGATTAGCCAGTCTAGGTCTTGAGTGATCCTGCAGATATCGAGGATATATCGAGGGCCAGTAAAGGTTCACCGTGTTGCCAGCAGAGAGCACAATAACACAGAGAGGTGAACATTCAGGGACATTCCCAGATCAAGCGCTCCCTCACTGCCCTGATCTTCCTTACAGATAACGGTGACTGTGGTGCTGGAGAGATGAAGAAGAGAATGAAGAAGGCTGTTTATTTCCCATATGCTATTGTTATATATATATATATATATATATATATATATATATATATGAAGAGTTCAGATTCAAAAGCCTCTAAATGACATTTGAAATTTTCTTCTTTAATGATGATTTTTATCAAACTTGTATATTTAAGTTCAGTAATTTCACTTAAATGGCAATGATAATTACCTATTAATTGTTATTTAAGTGAAATTAATGAACTTAAATATACAAGTTTGATAAAAAATCATCATTAAAGAAGAAAATTTCAAATGGCATTTATAGGCTTTTGCATCTGAACTCTTCATATATATATATATATATATATATATATATATATCAGAAGCACATTAGACAATTTCCCCAAATGGCATTCTATTGCATCACATTTCATACAGTTTCTGCAACAATCAACAGCCACAGTTTGAGTTCTTCGTGGTTTTGCTGCTTTTTTATTGTATTCACAAACCAAATAAAATAATTGTTTTGAATTAGTTAGTTAGTTAGTTAGTTAGTTAGTTAGTTAGTTAGTTAGTTAGTTAGTTAGTTAGTTAATTTCAGCCCGTTCTCATCCCAGGGCAATCATATACTGATTTTGACAATGCGTGTACATCCAACGCACATGGCACCCTTTAGCGTCAATATGAGACGCAGATATATGGGGCAGAAGGCGCCTCCTTAGTGGTCTAAACCTACCCATAACCGAAGCGTGTCATATTGACGCTAAAGGGTGCCATGTGCGTTGGATGTATACGCATTGTCAAAAGCGTCACTATATGACGCCTTGGGATGAGAATGCGTTGTTAATTTAGGCCTGGTTTCACAGACAGGTCTTAGATTATATACCAGGATTAATTAGGCCTTAGTTCAATTAGGGCATTTACAGTTTTTCGCGTCGTGAATTTTACTTTGCTTCCTGCTTTTTCTTTTTTCACCAGGTTCGATGTCATGATCTGTGGGTGAATGAATGTAATTGACCTATAAAATAACACAATAAGGGTTTTGCAATGTTGTGCGGCACAATTCCCTTACAGAAAAAAAAAAAAAAACCATAAGAATTTCACGTTTTTCACATGTGACCACATGTGAAGTCCATGTGTTTTTTCTGTAAGGGAATCTGGCTAATTTCTTGAATTTTGTGTCAAGTGAACAATATGAGTCTCAAATTAAATTTTGTGTGTGTTTTCTATGAAGATAAAATTCACATCCAGAAACATTCTCAAATAAAAAAAAACATAAATATAATTAGCCACGTAATAAAATATTACTTTAAATGTATAATAGCATAAAGAAATAATACTAAAATAACACTGACTAATTAAGCTATTTTAAACTGTTTTTATCAGATTCATATAATTTCATGTAGGTAAATTATATGAATTTATATGAAAATTATATTAATTTACATTTATATTTCTAAAGGTACAAACTATCTTACAGAAAATATGAATATATGATATGCATAAGGCTAATTACTCTTGGCATATTTAGATGTCTATCAATGCAAATTTACTGCAACTACTGCTATGCTAATTTAATGTGGATACAAGTTATTATTATCGTATTTCATTAATAAAGTTATATTAGTTAATTGTGTATTTATTAAATGAATATTATACTTCTGCATTGTATAATAAGGCTGTTTTATTTATTTTTGCCCATACGGTTGTGAGGATTTGTGTAAAGTTTATATAACCTATTTTGTTGAGTTTTATTATTTTGTGAGTTGTCCTCAAATCACAGATTCGATCATTTAATTTAGTACAGTTTTCACTTCTGAAAGTGAAAGTAAATAAAAAATTGCTTGCTTATTTACAGCAGTGAATAAATTAAAAGAAAATAAGATAGCACTGTGTATTGCTGATTTTAAAACTTACTGAACTTCAAGTGATTTTGGATATCTAGAGTTTTACATAAACACAACATAAGATCGGCCCCTCCGTATTAAAAGGATTGTTCACTTTCAAATTAACTTTTGATATGTTTTATCTTACCTCAAGGGCATCCAAGATGTAGGTGTCTTTGTTTCCACAGTAGTTTTAATTTTGATATTTTTAGGTCAAACCGTTCTTGTCTGTCAGTCATGATGAAGGTCTATGGTCACCACCTCAAAGAGCATGCACAGAGAAGTCCACATTATTTTTATAGTGAACAATCCCTTTAACTCTTGTGCCCCCAGTTGAAAAAATCCTAGAATCGCGCCTGGGTTTAATATAGTGACACCAGTACCCTAAGCGCAAGCGTTTTATTTTCACCAACAGGTGTCGCAGCAGGGCAGGGTGCCATGCATGCCATGCCCAAAAGAGCGGCTGTCGTCTAAGTCAAAAGTCTAATTGCTGGGTTGAAATCAATAAACAATTGCAAAATGAGCACTTCCATGCATGGTGCTTGGCTTGCTTTTCAGGCATTGTTGGTTTTCAGCTATCTGTAAAAGTTCATGAAGCGCAGCACGTGAAAGTTAAACCTTTTATTAATAAATCAAAACACATTATAGGTTATTCGGATTTACAGAAGAAGCCCGTGTATTCAGAATAAGGGCCTGCGAAAAATATTTTAGGGTTATTTATATAACACATTTCATACACAATGGTAATTCAAACATAGAAGACATTTAAAATAATCAAAAGAATTACGAATAATTCAAACAATTAAGGTTTCGTCGCCATTTTAATTTGATCACGACAATGATTGGTAACGCGTAACGCTATAAAACGTAGGCTATAAAGAATGTTGTCAATGTTTTTTCAGAAGGTCATGCGTGTTTCGTGTAGTATAAAGTGTTGCAGTTGACCATCACCACACAGGATGCACCCATTTCATGCATGTGTGTGCAGTGTGTATCCCGCATTGATTGGCTGCTCCGCGCGCACAGGTTCATCCTCCCCCATGACGCGCGATAAATGTCCGTCCTCCCGCATCTCTGCTGACACACAATCACACTTCTGCATTGCGTCGCGGCGTCTGCGTTTGTTTTCTTCCAGCGGGGAATGTAACTTAACTCAGAAAACCTTTTAACTTTTGTGCGCCTCTAGAAGTTTTTTTATGGGTTTGTTCTTTCGTTGGACGTGCGTTTAAGTATTTTTTTGCGTTATGAAAAACATAACCGGAGTTTTTGACAGCCTCAGTACAGATATGCATTCAAACCAGATTACCTCCAGCAGTTACCACAGTCTGCACAAATCCCAGGAATCCCCGACTCTCCCTGTCTCCACCGCTACCGACAGCAGCTACTATAATAATAACCAGCAGGCCGGACAGTGCTCAAGCTCTCCGTACGACCAGATCAGCTCTTACCAATACCAGAACACCAGCATGAACAGCGTCCAGTACAACACCAAATCATATGAACTGGGCTTCGGCAACGCGTTTGGTCCCTACGGCGCGTACGGCCCCTGCTCTTCTCCAACTCCTGCAGATGCTGGTAAATATCTCTCTCTTGTGGCAATACGCGTTGTAACATTAAAATTGAAATCTTACTATATATTTACAGAGTATCAGTGAAGGAAAAAAACGTGTATTGAGACATAAATCATGATTTTGTAGCGCTGTTTTAATTGCGCGTGAAAATGCTAAAAATAACGTTTTTATTATTACATTGCATTGCGTGACTGTTTTATTTTGAATTTCGACTTTTTGTAATATGTTTGTTTACTCTCCTAGAAAAAGAAGAAAGTGAACCTGAAATTCGAATGGTTAATGGAAAGCCAAAGAAAATCAGAAAACCGCGAACTATTTACTCGAGTTTCCAGCTGGCGGCCCTGCAGAGGAGGTTTCAGAAGACGCAGTATCTGGCTCTGCCGGAGAGAGCAGAGCTCGCAGCGTCACTGGGACTCACGCAAACACAGGTACACACACGCTTTACACGGATCAGCCAGCAAATTGCCGACGCTTTCATTAGCGTTAATTTTAAAGCGTAAAAACTGCTCATTAATCTCTGGAAAAAAAATGGGATTCCATAATCATAACAACACTCTAAAAAATGCAGGGTTGTTTTAACCCGATTTTGGGTCAAATATGGACAAATTCAAACATTGGGTTAAAAATTGCATTTAAAATGACACCAAGTGACCCAAAATTGGGTTAAAACAACCCAGCATTTTTCAGAGAAAACACTAAAAACAACTTTTAAATCCTAGTAACACTCCTTAATTCCTATAGCTATAATTTAACATTAGAGCGAATATTGTGTGTGTGCGTGTGTGTGTGTGTGTGTGTGTGTGTGTTATTATTTCAAAGGTTAGGGTTGTAATGTGAAATTATCATCCAATAGACATGGCGGCCTGATAATGAAAACAATTGGTAACACTTTACAATAAGGTTCATTAGTCAACATTAGTTAATTAAATAACCATGAACAATATACATTTGTTACTGTATTTGTTAATCTTTGTTAATGTCAGTTAATACAAATCTGTTCGTTGTTTGTTCATGTTAGTTCATTACTAATGTTGGCAAGGTTTTAATAATGTTGAAATTAACATTAACAAAGATGAATAAATGCTCTTTAAGTGCAGTTCGTTATAGTTCGTGTTAACTAATAAACCTTATTGTAAAGTGTTATAAGTGTTAACCGCATAAGTGCGGTCAAATCGATTAATCGCGATTAATCGCATCTAACTAAAAAGTTTGTTCATATGTCTATGATAAAAGTCTGTGTTTATATAATATATGTGAGCATGTCTATGTACATAAGACATTGGTACTGTATAAAGCGCTATAAATAAGGTGACTTGACATGGTTTAATGCTACGCTAGATACTGAATAGTTTGCTTGTTTTCCAGGTAAAAATCTGGTTTCAAAACCGTCGTTCGAAGTTCAAGAAGTTGTGGAAAAGTGGAGAAATCCCACCCGATCAGCACGTGGCATCCAGTGACTCTCCACCTCTCCACTCACCGCCGCTCAACACGGCCTGGGACTTCGCGCATAGCCAGAGAATGAACGCGGTGAACACGGGGGGTTTGTCCCAGAGCAACAGCCCCCCAAACACTGCCACCCCTTCCTTTCTGACGAACTACTGGTACTCATCCACGAACTCTGCCGCCCAGCTACAGCCACATCACCACAACACATCTCTCAGCGCAGGGACCATATTTTGACTCGACTGACTGGGGGAAAATCATTTTGTGAACTTGCAACAAATGACTTTCAGGCCTGCCCTCCCCCCCCACACACACACCCCCTCCCACCCTACATGGTGACACCTTTGCCACGTTGATCATTGCCGGTGCGTAACATTGTATGCAATGTCGTCAACAAGCAGACACTAAAGAATCAAACATATACAATTATTTTTGTATTTATTTATTTTGTTCTATGGGTGGTACATCAATGGATTAAAAGCAGTTGTTCGGTGAACTACTATTATCCAAAGCCTAGAGAACTCACGCGGACGTTATTGGAGTGAATATTAATGCAGCAGGGTGTATGAGCACATGTAGCACAACCTGAAGCTGTTTTTTCGTGCCTTTTGAAAATAACTTAACCGTCCTTTCCCATCGTAAATGTGTTTCATGCGCCTGTCTTTAATTTCAGAGTCAGACTTTTGTTCGGTTTATATATACGGAGGGTTAGTTTTGGTGTCTGTACGTGTGTTCACCCGCTGTTGTCATTCCTAGAGATTACCATAGAGGGTTCTCACTGTTTTTTTTAATAATACAAAAGGACGACACACTAATGAAAAACACACGAAAGCTACTGATTGTCCTGAAGCCATGTAAAAGATTTTTTTTTTTCCTCTTGAGTACTTTGTTTTATTTATTTTGAAATCCGAATGAGCGTTTCTGCCACTACAATGATTCAGACTTATTTAAATAAAATGTTTCATGTGAATGCATTTTATTTGTATCAATTCATTGGGGATTTCTTTAGTTCACTGTTGGTATGTTTTTTTTTTGTTTTGTTTTTTCTCGTAGATCTGTCCACGCCTCCCTGTTTTTGCTTCGGCGCCAGTTGAGTCTCTAGTCTTTAATAAGTCTGGCTGGAGACGCTATGCAACGTCTTGTAAAAGTTTCACACAAAACCCACAAATTCACCTTTTGTTGTCTAACGTGACAGGTGTGTCTTGCTTGATCTGTAAGTAGGTCAAGTGAGTTTATGCAACTTTTTTGGGTTCAAAAATAACAGGAGCACTGTTCTTAAAAAAAATAACTAAAGGCAACTGGTCTGACGTTCCCTAATTTTTTCGGAGACATACAACTTGCAGACAAAGGCTCCGGGAGCCCGACAGAAGCGAGGCGCGCTACAGAGCCTCGGGCTGGGAATGAGCGCGCAAACACGCCCCGGCATGAAGGCGTTCGGCGGGGTTCAGACTCTCTGGAGTCACAGCTCTGCGCTCCAGACTTTTTATGAAGTCAGCACGGACAAAAAAAAAAAAAAAAAAAAAAAAAGAAGCAGGCTCACAAATGCCCCGAGCTAAACAACATGGAAACATTTCTCACAACTTCCACCACCCCACGCACAAAACAAGGCCTTTATGGTCTCGGCTGCGTATAGGCTGCATTAATTTTCCATGCCATATAACAAAGGACAACTTGATAATTTGTTTAGAAGCTTCATAGAATATAAAAATCAGTGGAATCTGAGTCATACAACATGCTCAAACTGGCACTGCAAATGATGCATGCACATTTAATGCAACTCACTCAAATTAAAAGGTTTATTAGCTCAAATAAAAATGTAAGTAAAATCAACGTTGCTGCCTTATTTTTTTAAGTAAAATAACTTGGATGTTTAAGTCATGTCAACTTAAATTACATTTAACTGCCTTAAAAATTAGTTGAATTTTGTATAGGCTAACTTAAATATTGAAAATTGCTTAAATATTTTGATGAGTTAAAGCAATGTAAAACCATGTTGCCATAACTTATTGATCATATATTTTTTTTACAATGCAGCGATAAAATCACTTGCTGTTTTAGACGCTGCGGCTTTTATAACAAAACCATAAATGAAGTTATTGCAGTGTCCTGTTATTAATTATGCAAGACAATTGTCACTAAAGTGCCAATGCAATTTTTGTTGGTTTAACTTAAAACATTTTAAGTTAACTGAAATAAAAAGATGAGGAGATGAAGGTCAACGAAGGTTGAGATTGGTTTAATCAACAGAAACTCAAAATATTACACTCTAAAAAATGCTGGGTTGTTTTAACCCAATTTTGGGTCAAATATGGACAAACCAGAAATGTTGGGTTAAAAATGTAATGTAAAAATTTAACCCAACGGCTGGGTTAGTCCATATTTGACCCAAAGTTGGGTTTAAACAACCCAGCATTTTTTAGAGTGTATGTTGTCTCAACCGCATACATTACCGATTTGACAAAAAGAAAAAAATGTAAAAACAAATCATGAAAATGAAAAGATAAATGTTTGAACTACACGTGGCTTAATATCCATTGTTCTTTTTTAAATAATATATCGCAGGTTGCTTTCTTGTTACATTAATTTGTTTATTTGTGGGTTGAAAAGCTGTAAAGCCGACAGATGTAATGAGAATCTATCCTGTTAGTGATTGCCACATTACAAGATATTATGGTGTCGCCCCGGGCTAAGACTAAGCCTTTGCTGAAATATGTCCCGCGGAGATACACAAGATCCGTTCAGCAGAATAAACACGACAGGACACGGGAATATGATAAAGGCCTAAGACGCGACTCAATGTTAATGCAGAACAGTTTACGCGCGCCGTCCCTTGAGACAAGCTTAACCCGATCAAGAACAAATGAAATACCGCATTAATTCATGTGAACTCTTAGCCCAAACGTAGAAGAAGCGCATGCCCCAACGGTGTTTGCACCTCTTTCTGTCAGCCTGTATTTTTGCTGTCTCAGTATATCTGGCAAAAAAAAAAAAAAAAAAAAAAAATAGCCAGATTCCGTGCTAACATTGATTAGGACTCTCGGAATGGACAAGTGTCACACCTTGCAAACGCAAACGAATGTAAACTTGTATCGCATCTGGAACACATGCTCTGTCTGCATGCCTTTCTCTCTGAAAGATTAGCAATGATGTGGGTTTAGACACTTCCGGAATCCTGTAGACAACTTGAAAAATGCCATACCCCATCCCTAATTTATACTCTGATCTGTAATTTTATCCACAATTGCTCCAGTTGAGCATTCTGGCTCCCCGATCTGAAAGCCTGCAATTACTATATAATTCTTCGCAATTTTAGATGTCCTAATATGGACTATAATTTTTGCGCAAGACAATTTCCAGCTATTTCAAGCATCAACATTGTCAAAGTTGTATGTACATAATAAATGGTAATATCAATGCATAGTTTTTAGCATAACATCTTGACTCGCGCGATAATTATATCCGTTTGGAGCCTACGCAAAATTAGCCTGAATTGCATGGTAACTGCTGCTTTAAATTTTTAAAAATTACTCATAATTTTCCCAAAGATTACCAAGATCTCGAGTGCACAATGTCATCAGCGTAATGAGGAGTAAACATTTATGCTAATAATCAGCAATTTTTTTTCCATCAGCTATAAAGAGGGAAAATAAAGCCGGATTTTTCATTCCTGCTCGGAGAGCGTCTGTCAGCTCAGAGCCCCGCTAGAGGAGCACATTCATGGGACCCAAAGAGCCGGGACCCGCGCCATGACTTCTGGATGCTCTTTTCACATTCTTCCCTGTCTCTCAAGAGCGAGATTAGACATCTTATACACGATGTTCTCCTTTAACATGCCTCAAGGTAAGAAGGATTTTACATAGGCTACATTTTATTTGCTCATTTTGGGGGGATTTGCCTGCATTATTATGCGTATTGTGAGGTGTTATAATAAGAGAAACGAAGTGGTTTGGAATTAAGATTAGTCGTAGCTACTTTTGCGGACATTTAGGCTAGAAATTCCGCCGTATTTCTATAAATAAAACACTGATTTGGACGAATGTGTTGCCGGCTGAAAGATCTTTTTCGGTTGTCTGGAGAAAACAACATACAGCATTTGCTGCTTTGAATCAGGCAAACGTTAATAAAGTCTGAAATTGCGAGATGGTTTGTCTATAGAATCCAGTCGAAAATAAAGCAGCCCTTGTTCTATAATTTCACCTCTGCCTTCATCACTCCGACATTGTGCTTTTGCTCATTTTGATCCCTCTTCCCATTGACAAATCTCTCGGTATACACCTGCAAGCAATTTGCCAGCCTTACTTATAACTACCGCTGCGCACCTATTTCACTCTCTCTTTTCCTTTTTTTCCTTTTCTTTTTTTCTCCCCCCATCGCACAGCAAATTTTCTTTCAGTACGCTATCTCTTTTGTTAACAAAAGATTCCACGTGCGAAAAAAAATTGCTCATAATTATCCCGTAGATGGGAAGCTGCATTAGAATAAGTAAGGAGGGAATGACTGTAATTATGTCTGGTTTGATGGGCCCGGCGCGTAATCAAGAGGAGAATAGAGTGAAATAACGCTGACCCTCTCTGCTCCACAGCTGCATGTCGGAGAAAGAGACAGAACAGCACGGCTTCTTCTTTTATTCCTTCACAAACTGTTCTGTTTTTGGATATGTTTAGCAATATATATATATATATATATATATATATATACAAAAGACATTTAATTTTTTTGTCGGAGATTGTCAGACACTTGTCGGGCATAATATTAAAAATGTTGCAATGATTCATTTCAGTGTTAGCCATTCATTAACACATTTTCATCTGGTTAGGTTATTTAGCTGTATTATGAACATTTAGCGGGAAATCCCTGAGAGAACGCATTGAAAAGAAAAAAGGTTACACATTATTTTAACGTGTCTTTGTTGCACTGTATATAAGTACTAAGTAATATTATGTGTACTTAATATAGGGTTAGGAATCGGGTTTGGTTTATGGTTAGTTGCATGTAAATATAGGTATTACAATAGTGTAACATGTAACAATGACACTGTAAAATAAAGTGTTGCAAAAATAAAAGATGAGATTTAGCTTGGAAACCAGTTTGATAGACACTCTATCAAAATGATAATACGAATTAATAAACATAACGATTCCACGGCAGAGACTGTAGCTATAGGCTAATAATGGTAACGCTTTATTTTAAGGTGACATTTACATGTACTTGTCAGTAAAGTATGCATAATTACAAGTAACTAACCCTAAAACAAACTCTAACCATAACTGTAACTCTATGGTCAACAAATGAAATTAATATTACTGAGTACTTGTTTGAGTACTTAAAACGTCACCTTAAAATAAAGGGTTACGCTTTTTTAAGGTGTCATTGTTACAATGTAATTATATATTTATGTACTGTGTAACATCTTACTATAGGGTTAGGATAGGATAGGATTTGATTGAGGGGTAGTTGCATGTAATTATGCATAATTAACTTTTTTATTATATGGCAAGTACATGTAACATATGTAAAACGGACACTGTAAAATAAAGTGTTACCGCATAAACAAAGATAACAACAACAAATTAATTTAATAACAACAATAATAATAATGAACGTAGGTATATAATGTATTTTTTTTTTATTTGCAGTGTTATCAAATTGTGTAATAAGTGTAATAAGTCTTAAAAACTATTAATAGAGTCAAAGACAAGGCGAGCTTGTGATCAGAGCGCGCGGGCCACTTCCTGCTTTGACCAGGCCATTTTTAAAGACCACACATGAAGAATGTCAAAATTTGTCACAATAATTGCTGCACCCCCCGCACTCAAATCCCAACTCTCAATACTCAAACAGCAGAGGCAAGGTTTCATTAATTCCTAATAGTTCTTATATATATTTTTTTCTTTCTATGAATTATGTGTTTGAATCTCATTTCGTTAAAATCGTAAATTACTATCAAGCTTGATTTAATCAATAATAATAATAAACTAATGAATTAAATTACAATATCAAGGGTTAGAATGGAAACAATCTACCCAACAAAGAGCAAATATAGATATATATATAGATATATATTTGGAAATATCCTTTGTTTTGTTGCATCAGAATTTCCTTCAAATGCGCAGTTAAACCATCAGCCCCAAACAAAAGAGATGCTGAACATGTCATTCTTTCCCTATCTGCATTCCCCCTCCTCCAGAGCCAGGGCTTTCTTCATCTGGCCCTCTGTGAGCGGCACCTGCCCGATTATTCACTTAACACACGGCCATCAAAGCAGCCACACAAGAGCAGAACAGAGCTTATAGCGGATAAACGAAAGTGAAAAGAAACAAGTGGCCTTATTGTCGGAGGAATTACTGTGTTACAGAAACCACCACAAGATTAATCGCTGCTTCAGATTGCAATGAAACGCTAAAACACACAAAACGGCCACATTCTGCATTTTTTCTTTTTTTTGAAGATTTTTTTTTCTACAGGTTTACGCTAATATCTGCACGGTCTGAATTAATTAAATATTTTCATCAAAATGCTTTTTAGTGTGTTGTCTGTTTGGCAACAAATCCTTTTAGATATTTAAAATAGGTTGGCTAAATATTGAAATGCTGTCTTGGCCTCTTTCAGTGCAAAATAAGTTTGTTTTTTTCATATTGCATTAATTCAGTTGCCTGAGTGTCATTCATTTTTGACAAATCAATAAACGCTGCGATGACATTTTGTAGCTTCTTTCATAAACAGGTTTTTACTGTTCGAGTTTTACACATTATACAAGACTCCATGAAACAAAACAATAAATTAATATGACCGGTAAAGCTATAAAACTATTTTTTTTCTCAATGTGAAACGGAAAAACACATGAATTTTAATAAACACAATTATGTTTAGATCCTTTTGCACAAATTATTCAGCACACAACGAAAACGACTATTTCTGTACATTAGAGCTGTCAGCACTTCCCATCTGACGGTGATGATAGACGCGTTTATCTGATCAAAAGAAAGGCTTTACAAATTGGGATCAAATCCGAGGGAAGTGTCTCTGTTTTATAGTGCAGCCTCACATCATAATTTAAAGAACATTTGTTTTAAATAAAACATACAAACAGATAAAAAAAAACAAATTCTAAATAAGTTATACTTAAATAAACACAAAACGCCATACATACAAAATAACTTTGTTGTTAAGATTTCTTTGTTCCCTTTAAAATGGGGAAAATCATACTTGCTCACGGTGTGATTTATCCCAGTTTTTACACATTCACGCGCCATGGCGAAGCCTGAAGCGACTGAATCTCGCGCGAGATTTGAGAAAATGTGAAGCTCATGTCGATCTCACAGCCCGTGTTGTGGATAATTCCAATTTTCTTATGGAAAATTACAAATTTTGAAGAAAACGAAATACATTTCTGACTAGGGCACAGTTTCATGATTTTTTTTTTGTTTGTTTGTTTGGTTTTTTTACACAACAAAAGTCACTGAAAGCGGGAGAGTAGCAGCTTTGATTTGACCCGCTTTCCAGGCATTCCCTTCAATTGAAAAAGAGACTTGTTTCCTCTCCGGTTCAGACGGCTCTCGTTCAGTCCACGCCGGCGGTGTGAGAGTGTCTCCGGATCACATCTGGTCTGGGCTGCGGAGTGCCAGTGTGTGTAAGGCCGCAGAGTGACTGGCCTGTGTCGGGTCCCCTGAACTGGGCCATTGGTGGATAGAGGGGCGGGGTTGTTTTAGCAGTCCTGGTTCACATGAGTTGCGGCTGCTGCATAGTGTCCTGGTGTGCTGTGGGATACCATGAGGTGTAACTGGGAATATAAGAGGTCGGCGTGGATGTTTTGACGGTGGCGGTTGAGTTCCAGACAGGCGCTATGGATGGAGATCCGGTGGACAGTCCGCGCCCGTTAGCCAACGCGTTTGTGTCTATTGTTCCTCCGCCCTGCTTCATCAGTTTCTTAAACTTGGAGCGTTTATTCTGAAACCAGATCTTCACCTAGAAAAAAAAGAAAGAAAGAAAGGCAAATCAAAACAGAGCGAGCGACAACACCTGTTTCTGTTATCGAATCTCGCGTAATCGAATCGAGTTCGAAAGGAACGCGATTATTAACTTTTACGTTCTAAAATGTTTTCCTCAAACAGACGCGTGTTATAAAGTCGATTTCAAAAACAACATGCGAAGATTAAATTAATTTATGAAAAAATAATTAACGATTTTTTTTAATCGTTGTGTAGGCTACATGTGATATGTTTCGCGTCCGTATTCATAAAGTCTCTAAATGATTTGATTGAAAGCGCGTAAAAGCACATGCCTGTGTTTGCGTGAGCCCCAGTGACGCGGCGAGCTCAGCTCTCTCCGGCAGAGCCAGATACTGGGTTTGCTGGAACCTCCTGTTCAGTGCCTGCAGCTGGAGACTGGAGTAGATGGTTCGGGGTTTGCGGATCTTTTTGCCTTTCCCGTTGAAACGCACCTCTCCTCCTTCCACCACGGTGTTTTTCTCCGACTCTGGTGCTGGGGAGGGAGAAAGAAAAGAAAGTGTCTCACAAACTGTGCGGCTCACATCACTGTGCACAAGTTTTACAGGCGGCACTTTAGGTATAATTAGCCTTAATTGCATACATTGTTTATAGCATTACGCAATAAATAATTACCAAGCCTAATAACAGCACATCTGGGCTACTCCAGTCCAACATTCTTGCAGTGCGCAGACAAATGCAACGACCAGTGAAGACCAAAATACGCTCAGCATTTCTTACCTGGGTCCTCCAGTCTCGTCTGCGCCAAAGCCGAGTTGTTTGGGTAAGTCTGCACGGTGCTGAGGTACGGGCTGGAGGAATGGCTACCGACCGAGTTGACGTATGGATAAGGCA